ACTTCAATCAATTACTTACCATAAAATTCCACTGTCTTAGCTTCATGTGTGACTAGTTGCTTAGCCAGTAAACCAGTTATTTAAACTCTCTAGGATTCCATTTTCTCATTAGAAGAAGAGTGAAACGCATAGGAAATTCAGTAAATTGATTTGTATGAAATTACAGCACAGACAGCAGCACAGTCCTTGATATGACAAGGCAGCCTTATCCTAAGGCAGCCCAGAGGAGATTCTCTCTAACTGTGTTGGGGGCCCCATGGAGGAGGAACTGTGCCTAGAATACCAATGTTTGCTGGGATGGTTGGTAGGTGGTCAGTGTTCAGTTAAACTTTGTTAGAGAATTAAAGGAAACAAGCTTAGAGTTTTGACAATTTCACCATTTGAGGCAAGATGTGGAATGTGACTCTGTCTCCCCTTCAGGCAGCTGGGGTGAGTGGAAGCAATGATGAGTGGAAGAAATGATGCAGAAACCTGGTGTAGATATTACATAATGGCTCCCAGAAAGCAGGTGGCCATCTCACGGGTTCTCTCAAGAACACAGAAGGCGGGGCTGGAGAGATGGCTCAGAGGTTAAGAGCACTGACTGCTCTTCCAAGGGGTCCTGAGTTCAATTCCCAGCAACTACATGGTGCCTCGCAACCATCTGTAATGAGATCTGGTGCCCTCTTCTGGCCAGCAGGCATGAAAACAGAACAGGCAGACAGAACACTGTATACATAATAAATAAATCTAAAAAAATGAATTTGTTTAAAAAAGGAAAGAAGAAGAACACAGAAGCCATTGGCTGGAGAGATGCCTCAGGAATTAGGAGCCCTTGATGCTCTTGCAGATCACCCAAGTTAGGTTCCCAGCACTTATATTAGATAGCTCATAACCACCTGTAACTCCAGCTTCAGGGAATCTGTCACCCCCTCCTGGTCTCCATAGGCACTGCATGAACATGGTGCCCATACGGAAAAGTAGGCACACACACACAATAAAAATAAATTTTAAAACTTTTTAAAAAGAACTCAGAAATTCAAAGAAAGGACAGTTCCTCCCCCAGATGCTTGTCCTTGGATGTGTGATCCAGGGAGAGACACAAAGTTGCCATTTGGCCAAATGGCACACCCAACAGTAGAGATACAAGGAAGTACTTTCTTGCTGTCCAATTCCTAGGCTATGACTTTGGGCTATATTGTTTGACTTCTTGGCCTCCTAAACTCTTGTTTATCTTCTAATATCAGATTCTTTATTTTTCCTAAGGCTTCTACAGGCAACTCACTGATTCCCCAATCCATTAGTCTTTTACAGTCAAAGTGGCTTTGCAGTGCTTACATCCCATTCTTTATGTCCTAGGCCACTTCCTATGACCTTAGTCTTGGCTTCTCTTTCTAGTCAACCCATAAGTCATCGTTTCTAGAGGATTTTGTGGTTGATGATGTTGTTAGTTTTTTGTATTGCTTGAGATTGAATCTAGGATCCTTCTCATGTTAGGCAAAAGCTGTAGCCCTTACAAATACATTGAAAATATCTCCCAAAGAACATATGTAGACATCCGGTACTCTTGTATGGTACTCTTTGGGGGATGTTTGAGCAGTAAGGCCTTGTTGGAGGAAACTTGTTCTCAGAGGCCAGCTTTGAGAATTTAAAAACTTGAACAATTTCCAGTTTGTTCTTTCTGCTTTATGCTGTGGGTTTGAAGATGTGAGCTCTCAGCTTCCTGCTTCTATTGCTGTGCCCAGCACTCGCCACTGTGCCTTCCTCTCATGTTGGACTCTCATCCCTCTGGAACCATAAACGGAAGTAAATTCTTCCTTTTATAAGTTGTTTCTGATCCTACTTTTCACAGCAACAAAAAGCAACCAATATTTCTCAAGATGCCTTCCTGGAGGGATAGCCTGGAAGTTTGCAGTGCTCACTGCTCTTCCAAAGGCCACAACCACCTATAACTCTAGTTCTTGGCAATTCAACACTCTTGTCTGGACTCTGTGAGCAATCGTGTGTGTGTGTGTGTGTGTGTGTGTGTGTGTGTGTGTGTGTGTGTGTGTATACACACACAAATAAAATCTCTTTTAAAATGCCTTTCTTAAAATGGTTGTCATTTCTCATTGTTCTTTGATATCCTTAGCTGTCCATGTTTTCAATGAAGAGAATTATGTTCCTTCTGATCATTCTTGCTCTGTGTGTTCATGCTCACTTCTCCCATCCTTCAGATCCATTTATTTCTAATTTTTAAATTTATTTCTGGTATTTTCAAGACAGGGTCTCACTATGTATCTCTGGTCGTCCTGGAACTCATTATGTAGACCAGAATGGCCTCAAACTCACAGAGAATCAGCCTGTCTCTTCCTCCCAAGTGCTGGGATTAAAGGTGTGTGCCATTATACCTGGCAAGATTCATTTATTGCTTACCTCCCCTTTCCTATACCCGTTTCTTCCCTACGGCTGTGCTGTTTGATAAAATTTTATCGTGATTGAATGGCATCCCAAAATAATAACTGAATAAATAAGATATTAATGAAATTAATACCAAGACAGACAACATGAGCCATCATCATGTTTTCCAGGCAAAGAGGGAACTATCAGAGGCACACTTCTTCCACATGGCTCTAATATGTGTCAGACTCTGGGCAGATAGGATCCTGTTGAGTCCTCCTTGTTTCTTTTTTAGAGGATGGATGATTTGGGGATGGATGAGCCTCTCCACATCTCAGTGTGTATGTGTGTTTGTGTTACAATGTAATGAGTGGCTAGCACTGACAACAGGCTCTGTTGATTGTGGCACACAGGCATCACTTTTTGGAATTCCTTTTTTTTTTTTTTTCTTTATGTTACTGTATTTCCAGAGACTCATATGGGCACATTTTCCCTTACCTCTCACAGCTGCTTGTAATCCGTCATGACAAAGAGCAGCCTTAAAGGCAGCACTCAGGGGAGACATGATTTTCTTTCCACTTCTCTCTCAGAAAGAGCAGCTTAGAATGGGAAGGGGGAGCACTCAGGTTAAAGAACATAAATAAGAAGGACCTACTGCTTTTCCTTTTGAGGATGCTAAACCTCAAAGGGATTCTTGGTCCTTAAAAAAAAAGGGTCATCACCCTGGATCTGCCCTGAACATTACTATGTATGCCTGGTAATAAAGCCAGAGGGTTTTTAGTGAGAGCCATTACAGAGAAGGCAGACCTGAGGCTGTTTTTTGTGGGTGCAGGAAAACCACAGGCTCATAAATATAACTTGTGAGGCTCAGCTTGTGGCTAGCCAGGCTTTAAAATTTGTGACTCCCGCAATTATCTAAGGTGACAGGGGAACAATTGACTTGTTCTCAGACAAGACTGCTGTGCTGGGAATTATGGCTAGGGAACAGAAATGGCCAGACTTCCTCAGGCAATCACAGAACTCAGCAGAGCTGGGTTGAACCATTCCTGGGGTGAGGGCGGGCAGGTATACTAGACAAGAGAGACAAACAGAAGAATCATCATTTTCTTCCTTTACAAAAACTATTTTTCTCCTTAAAACGACTCCAGGGTTTTTTTTTTTATATCATTAATTTAAAAAAATTTTTGTGAGCCACACAAGATTTCCATAAACTTGACTCCTAGACAGCTGATGATGAGTATCTTCTAAATAATGCTTACTTCTAGCCACGGCCTAATAATTTGCTGATTCCAACTAGGAAGCCTAAAATGTTTAAACTGAGATCTTTAGGGGTACGCAGACTAGTTTGTTCCCAGACTGAGCATCTTTGTGGCTGCCTGTTTTGATAGCTACCAAAAGCCTTGGGCACATGGTCCCCAGTGAAATGCTGGCTGTGTCCATAGGTGACTGCTGCTGCCCTGCAATGGAAGGCAGGGAGTTGTCCAGCTTCCTCTCATGTTTGAAAAGAGTTTACACACCAGATCTGAAGCTTCTTTTTGTGTAAACTTCTCACCAAGTGCAAAGGAGCTGTTCACCCACCTGAGACAAAAGAATATGAGTAGTACAGCTCAATTCTATCATTTTTCAAGGAGTCGAAAATATTCTTTCTTTCCAGGCATATGAGCATAATCCTACCACACAGGGGCTGAGACAGGGGAACTATATAAGCTTGAGGCTAGCCTGGGCTACATAGTAAGACCTTGTCTGACAGAGAAAAAGGGAGAATAGCCAGGAACTGTTGCACAGACTGGAAGAGATTAAAATGAAAACTAAATGCAAGCCAGGCCTTGTGACACAGGCCTATAATACTGAGGTGAGAGGGTCACAAGTTTGAGCCCTGCCACAGCTATACAGTAAATTCAAGGCCAGCCTGAGCAATTTAGTGCAGTCCTGCCTCAAAATTAAAGGGGTGGGGGCATAGTTCAGTGGTGTAGTGTGCTTGCCTAGCTTGCCCAACGTTGGGTTTTCAGTTTTTAAAAAATCCTTTATCTTTGGTGAAGGAGAAGGACTTTCCCCTGTCCATGTCGTCGTCTTTCTTTTTTAATGTGGTTTGACAGCAGGAATTCTAAAGGAGGCCTCACAATTAGAAAGAAATGAAGTTGGAACCAAAGCGTCTGTGCTCACAGCCCTCTTAGCTGCTCTAATTAGGACACCTTATTCCCTCTGTGCTCAGCAGAGGACAGGGGGCTTTTTAATTGAGGCTATTAGAAGTTCTCTTTACACAACGACGACCCGTGAAGTGACGGCTCCAGCAGAAGCTCTGCCCACTCTACAATTACTTCTTGCAATTCTGAGAAATAATGGTATCTTGTCTCATTTAAAAATAAGTCCCAGGCTCATTCCCCACGGAGTTCTCTCCCTTGCCTGCCCACATGAGCGTCTTCTTGCCAATTAGGCAAACTTTCCATTATTTACGGAGGTGGCTTTGATCATAACTGTCCCCTGATAATGAGACGTACTAAGCTGGATTTCATTTGCCCACAGTTGCTTTATTCTGAACTCAAGGGGACTTAAAATGAACTCAGATCTGGAGTTTGCGCTCTACTGAGAGGGCGTGGTTTGGGAATCCCGGGTCTGGTGCTGTCTAATGCCGCAGAACTCACCTGGAATAACCCTCGTGTTCAAAGCGCTCAGCTCCGCAGAGTCACTTCCTCTTAAGAGAACGGATGTAGATTTGTATTTATGACCTTTTCCAAGAAAAGAAATTAAAGATTTAGATGACAGACCAGCACATTTTGCCAGCTGCGGTGGTCTAGGCCTCTAATTTGCAGCACTTGTGGGGCTGAGGCAGGAGCATCCTGAGTTTGAAGGCAGCCTGAACTACAAGTGGTCCCTGAGCCACTCCCTTCCAAATTCAATTTCTCGTTGCATTCCCTGTGCTAGTTTGAAGGATTATCACAGAGATAATCTGTGGGTTTGCAGGCTCAAGGGGGTGCGGGGCAACCGGCATCAAGGGCTTTTATCATTAAGTCGTCTTTCATGTGGGCATGTGGGCACACGCCTTTGGCACCCTGAAGGCAGAAGCAGATACATCTCAGTGAGTTCAAGGTCAGCTTTGTCTACACTGTGAATTCTAGGCCTGCCAGAGCCACATAGTGAATTTATGTCTCAAAACAAACGAACAAACAAAAAGCCACATAACAATAACAAAAAACCCCATAGACTCTTTCTAAAAGTAATAGTTTCTCCTCTACCATAAATAATGTTATGTCCATCTGCTAATGAAAAGCACCAGCCTGTATTTACAAAATACCATTTTTATCTATGTATCATATGGATATGATATACAGAATATTTAGGAAGCATTGCAGATTAATTATATCCAGTGGCATGGGTATTGTGGGTTTTTTCATTGTTTTATATGCTTAAACTCTGAAGGAAAACCTTTGAAAGCCATTGAATTTGTCATCTGGTTAAACATTTGAAAGAATTTAATGTACTTCCCATTGTGACCCGTGTCTTTATAGGCATTTTCCTACCTTCTCTCTTTCTCAATCTGCATTCATATATGAAAAATAGTTCAAGAAACATAGACATATGAATTATTTTCAGCTACCACACATTTGCCCAAACTAACAAAGATTTCAATGTCTAAAAGATACCAAGGCTTTAATCCGGCATTTTATTAATTGTGTAGATTTGAATAAAACTTTTAACTTTCCTGAGTTTGTGAGTTTTCCCCCTTTTCATGAAAAAAAAAAAAAAGAAAACAATGGTACTGTTTATATTCTTCTCTGGTTCATTTGCTGGCTATGACAAATGCTAAGACAAAAAAGGGAAAGACTTCCCAGTCACATTCAGCATTGAGGGGAATCAAGGCTGCATCCTGTCACCTCCCACCAGGGAACTCACTTCACAGCCAGGAAGTGCAGCAGGAACCATGAAGGCTGCTGCTTGCTAGCTGGCTTGAAGACTGGCTTGTACTTAGCTGGCTTTCTTTGTTTTGTTTGTTTGTTTGTTTGTTTGTTT